GAGCGATGTACTCCAAGTTTTGAAGCAAGAGTGGGCGAAAATCCCACAATCTAAAATTGATGAGATGATTCTCACCATGCCCCAAAGGATCAACGAACCCCACAAAGCGAAAGGAAGATCTACTACATATTAATTAAATTATAAATCTATCAATTCACGTGAATATGACTGAAAATTTTCATTTTTTCTGAAAAGGTGGTGTCTATTTACTTGTGACCACGCTGTGTACATGTGGTATAGTGTGTCTGGAAACCAGTGAATTTCAGTTCGAAAAGTCAAGGAATTTGGAACACCTCCAAAGATTGAAACAGTGGGAAAAGGGGCAAGAGTTGGGCCAAGGAGAGAAGAGGGAGGAGGGTGGCCACCTGAAAGTATAGCATCCAGACAGACTCGGGAGACTCCAAGAACAGAGAAACCAAGTCAAAAGAAAGGCAGTAGAGGAAAAAAAAAAAAGGGAAGAAGAAGAAGAAGCCAGAGAGGCAAACAAAGAATAACGATGGCCATACAAAAAATGTCTGGGTCATAGTGAGGAGATGAAAAGTGGAGATACAGCAAAGGAGTAAAGATAAAGTGATTTAAAGTAGATTGCATAAAAGAAAGAGACAAAAAAAAGAAAGAGGAATGCCTCAAGCATATAAATGGAAAACAAGTTTCGAGTATAAAAATATAGAAGGGTCATGACCTTAGAGACTATAGTAAAGAAGTAATAAAGATGAGAAGGACAAGGAAGATGATGACAGATGCGGAAGTAGAAAGAAGGCCGACAAAGTAAAGCAATCCACAAGTTATTATGATATATGGGCAAAGGATATAAAAACTCACATACTTAAGTTAAGAGCATACAAAACAGAAAAAAAGAGGTACCTGTTCCTTATCAGAGAGAGAAGAGCCAGGAGTAAAGGTTGAAAAGTTGGCCAAAATCATCCATAACTGAGGCAGGCTCATAGAAAGTAATTAAACAGAATGATGATGGACTTGAATTGTAGAAGTAGGCAGAATGGAAATACTAACTGATACATGATATCAGTAATATATTTGAAAAGTATCAGCAGTGAACATGAAATACCATAGGTCACCACAGCACTATAGCATTGTGGTAATGTAATATGTCCACTATTAACATAGTATCATGCCACAGATTTAACTCAGAGATCTGTCTTATGCCAGGTAGTTGCTCTACCAAGTGAGCTAAATGGATAACTACTGAATGTTAGCCTTGTGAATAGATAAGGTGCTTCTGGTTGCTCTTAACATACTTGGAGAAATTGCCTGAAGATGAATGATTGAGCCACTGCAATTTTTTTTTATTACTTGCAATCATATTTAAAGTAGCACAAAGAAGAAATGTGGTGGTTAAAAAAAGGAAGTTGCAATGAAGTGGATGGAATGAAAGTGCAATGAGGACAAAATTAATGTAACACTAAATAAAAGTAGGCAGTAGGTCAGTGACTAGAAACTCAAATAGCACATGAAAAAACATGTCTGAACACAGGCATTGCTGGGGAGAGAATGAACCTATACTCATGTGCTAATGCTCATGGTGATTACTGTGCATGGATGTTTTGTGGTCCTTCTAATGGTGGAGGGCTATAGCATTTTGACAATATGTCATAGGCTGGAGCAATACACATAGGCATGTGAAGGGTTGGGAGTTTGTTCGAGGCTTGAAGCATGTACAGAAAATTCCACAGCAGTTGCACATAAGGTAATAGCTCTTATTGGTGCTAAGAGGTATAAATATTGTTTCTGAAGCAAGTATATTCCCATCACATCAGGGTGCTTGAACAGTTCTTTTCTTTTGACGTTTGGACACACACAAAACAATGAGCTAGATACTATCTCCTCTTTCTTTTGTAGAAAACTTCAACAGATTGACATTTCTAGTTTTCTTACCTTTCTTATCAAGTACAATTTAATAGTCTAAACACCAAAATAGCACCAATTTCTCTGTGGCATCCTCTACTGACGGTCTTCTTTCCCTAGCAAGTGTGAACCTTAGTACAACAAGCCAAGAACAATAACACAAATCCCTACATGCAAAAAAAAAAAATGGGTCTTACTTTGAATAACTTATATCTTCTCCTGCTAAATAATAATGATTACTGTTTTCCCACATTTATACTTAAAATATTTTGCCTTTTGTGATAAACTACATGAACGTTACTCCTTCCTGTTTTATTTAATAAACTGAATGAATCTTAATAAAAAATAAATACAACTAACATTTTTGCCAAATACACATATGAAAGGTTTCAAAAAGTATTTCATAATTTATTTCACACCTGAAAGAAGTTTGTTCAACCAATGAAAGGTGTCATAATTTCAAGACATGAAATATCACAGCAAATTTTTTGAGAAGATTGTCTTACACGAGCAAGGTAATTTACATTTCTTTAAGCTAACTTCAAGTTGTTTTAGTTTTATACCAGAATGTTAAAATAAATGTAAAAACTTACTAAAAACACCTTTTTTCATTGTTTTAGTCCAATAAATTACGAAATGTTCTACAATAACCAATGTTTACAAGGAGCCACTAGCAGTATTTGAAGTTTCACTTCAGCTTTTGGCTTCTAATTTTTTTTATTTTTTTGAAGTGATGATGAATGAGATAAGAATATACAGTACAATATAAATGGGGTATCAATTTACATATTTGTAATTACAAGCACAAATAAAACATTTCTTCAGCATATTACAATTAAAATCACATCCAGCATAAAAAAAAACTGAAAACTTGATTCTAAATTTAAAGAAAATTGGATTCCAGCCCATAAATAACATTGCAAATGTAGTGAACATACAACTAGAAGGATGTTATGCAAAGATGGTATATTTTGATACATGCAAATCTTCTGTTTGTCAGAAATTTGTTATTGTTAACACTAGAACTACTGACGTGGTTCACATGGTCCTCACCTCTTTCTGAAACACATTTATCAAAACTTTTTAGGCACCAAATTGCTTTTGTTGGTTACATGGCATATTACAGTTAATCCCTGTAGTTACTGTTATAGTATTGGTATCCTATGCATCCCTCATTCTCTATGTAAAATGCATAGGATACCAATACATTTTACATAGAAAATGAGTGATTTCAACAAATTTCTTTAGCCATTTTTTTCACACTGAGTATCGTAACAGGTAAAAACATTAAATTACTCAATATGTGGACCCCATCAGTAGTAAACAGTATAATCAAAAGGTAAAAATTAGAGGGTTAAAAGACATTATTATCACTAAATAGAATGACCTGCCCAAAATGTAAATTTCACTCTCAACTTTAAATTCAGATTTTAAGCAATATCAATTAACCTTAGACAAATTTTTAAGTAATTAAAGTGCAAATAAATGTCCAGTTTAATAGTTCCTAAAAAATCTGTTATAAAATTCCAGAAATCACTGAATAATTTCTGGGTGAAACAGGTTTAGTCTACATATAAAACAATCACCAAGTTTAATGTTATTTTTTTAATGAAATTTTCAAATACTGGAACATCAAATCTATACTTTTATAAATCCTACTATAAATGTAAATATTTATTTTTCAGGCTTATACAAGACAAAATTAAAACATTTAAAGAAATTACCACAAACATCTTTGAATGTACATTTTCATAAAACTTGCACACTGTGATAACAGAATCACAGAAGTTCAAGGTTTTGATAAATATTATGATGTAGCTATTGTCGATAGCATGTATGTTTTTTGTTTTTGGAGATGATTTTTATTCAAAACAGTCTATATCACTTTTGTCTACAGATCACTAAACTTTGTTTTCAACTTAAATGTTAATAAATAAAATACTCATATATCCTAATACACATTTACCCAGTCATTCAATTTAGGCATTATTGCACTTTAAAATACTAACCTAAATCCTGTCAAGCTATATTTCCAAGATAGGACATTATAAAAAAAACTATATATAGAAAAAGCAATTTAATAAATCATTCTTTTATACATACACTTATCATAAAGATCTACAAGTTTCATTGTATAAGTTAAGTGCACTAAAAAGTTTATAAATATCGCACTTTACAAATACAAAATTTCTGCACATCTGGTATTATAATCAGCTCTAATAAAATCAGCCAAACAGATTTTTGCTGCACAGAATTTTGCTAGATGTGAGTATACAGTTACTGTATTAACTATAATCTGAAAAATAATTTGTACAAATATACAAAAATTTACTTAAATTATGTTGAAACTAAACTTCGAATAGCAAAAGAAAAGTCATAAAGCTACAACTTTACATGTTAAAGATACTTATTTTTTAAGGGACACTTCATTTTAACAACCAATTATTCTTTTTGTAAATACAATGTTTAAAGAGAGACAATGTTTACTACAGGAGATAATTTCACATATTTTAATGCCACTAATAAATCAAACATAGCGCACAAAAACTGCTTATGATAGTGGAAATTGTGTGGCTATTGCTAGAAACATCTTTCTACTTACAGCATTATACTTTCAGTAACAACCAAATGGTCTAATATTTAACAATATCATAAAGGAAGTTCAGTCAAACCAGTTAAAACTGTAGTTCAGTTTCACTGCCAAGATTGGAAATCATAGTAATTCAGTAGCAGTAAACAATTCATTTTGATTTATTAAAGAAATTAAAAATAATATGAAAATTTAACATGAGAAGAATATCTTAAGATCCTTGGGCTTTTTTTTTCAAGAGAAAGTTACTCAATTCATTGGCTTTAGTTAAACATCCTAAAAACTGAAGATTATAAAAAACTCTAAAGTAATTAAGTATTCATTTCAAATGTAACTTAAACATGTACCTGTTTAAATTTTTAAGGAATTAGTCCGTCAATAGTCTAAGTTTAGGTTTCCTTGTTTTAATAACAATATACTGTGATACTCAGCTACAGGGTTAAATACTATTAATAACAAAATGGTTTAGGGTGAAAACATCTCTAAATACAATGTCGTTATGGTATAACAAAAAGATACTTAAAAAAGAACCAACAAAAACAATCAGTTACGTTATCAGAATCAACATTTTATTCCAAACACTTGGTTCATCATTCTCTATTATCTAATCATACAACTAGTTTACGTTTAGATTTACAACACAATTGGAATATGCCAGTAATTGTTTGATTTTTTCTTTTCTTCATTTCTAATCTTCATCACTACTCCAATTATCAACCCGAAGATTATTTGTATGTTTGGAAGTGGCTTCTTTACTTTTCATAGCAGTCCTAGTATAATCCTCATAACAAACTTCCTGATCAGAATCTGGTATCCAGATAAGGATGTTTCTGTCATTGCCACCACTGTAAAGTTCATGGTGAGGCTGACGTAGTGCACAGCAGTTCACAAGATTGAAATGTCCTATTAAGGTATCAAAAAGTTCTCCAGTAACTAAACTGTACACTAAGACCCTCCCTTCTGATGGTACAAACACAAGTGGAGGATCACAGCTTTGAGTTACAGCCATTTTCACTGTTTTACAGCTGTCATTCACTACCTTTCCAAAATTGACTAGACTATTTCGGCCCAAAGCAACATCCCAGAGCCGTACTCGGTCATCAGTACCACAAGACACCAGAAACAAGCCATCTTGAGTAAAACTTAATCCACTCACAGTTCCATCATGTGCAGTCTTTCCACTGTAGCCTGCAGCAACAGCCTCTCCATTGTGTTGGTCAAAAGCACACAGGTGTCCCTTTGCTGATCGAATGTCCCATAGAAGAAGACGATTATCTTTGCTTCCCGTTGCCAGCAATGTTTCAGCCACAGGTGACCACTGGATTGATAAAACACTACTTTTGTGGCCACGAAGTTCATGTGAGCACCCTCCGGTTCTCATGTCTACAAGTGTCACTCTGGAATGAGATGTGGCCACTAGGACGAGATTGGAATTTGAGTATATTAGTAATAACTTAAACTATTAGTATGTTTCTCACTATATTATTTTCTTAATGGCATAACCTAAAATATTGTACTAAACAATACTTGTGAAATACAGCCCTTGTATGCTTTTCTTGTATTTCTTTCAATTTTGCATTTGAATTTTTTGAAGAGTGATTTACAATAATATACAAACAAAACTAAATCTGTAAATAGTGTTAAAATGTTGTAACATATTGGGTAAATAGCTGTTCTTGAATTTGTTTTAATTGTTTCTTAACAACAAAACCAACAAAAATGAGATGATTTCTAAAGGAAATAAAAGGGAACCAGCAATTCGTGATACTTCAAAAGTTTATAACCTGAGTAAAACCAGGATGTAGATCTTTCCTCTTCAGGAATGAAATGAGGTCATATGTTTACCTATCAATGTCTTTGATTTTATCACATAAACAATAATCATATAACAAAATGCTCTAATATATGACATTTGGTAAAAGTGTTACATGGCAATTATGTGAAGGCACAAGTAATATGATGGAATAATAATTAAAAATATCAAACAAAAGGAAAAAAAAATGATTTCATATCATTGCTTTTAAACATTTAAACATTATGAAGTTTCAAGAGCTTTAAGCTCAAATTGGATACCTAACCATTATATGGCCCTCAAACCTGTTACAGCTTTTGCCAACCAACTAGACCAGACAAGGTGTGCTAACTGTAATGGACCCCACACTGGATCCTACCGTGGCTGTCCCAAGTTCAAGTCCATAACCACCTCTCTATGACCTGCTTCAGCCAATGTCTCATCTATCAACAACCCCAGGAAGACCATACACTGTAGTGAACCTCTTGTTACCGGACCTGCCAACACCATAACCAGTCTGGATCCCTCAACCTCAAATACAAGCCATGCAGCAGAAATCCTACTCTCAAGCCAACAACCACTGGTTAGACCTGTTAGCCACAATCACCTACATCATAACAACAATATCACTACTAACAATTAGGCCTAGAGAATGATGTGGATTTTATTGTACCACTAAAGACACAAGTGCAAAATTTCTTGTTTTTTATACATATATATTTCTAACTTATTGTTACAAACTTAACTAAACTGTTAAAATTAGAAACCTACTATGTTAGATAAGAAAACTTAAATGAAATAACATTAACAAAAGACTTTGTGGCACAAGCCTAGAAGTGTGAGGCACGCATGTGTAATTCAAACATGCATGTTCGTAACTCGGTTGTTTGTTTACACAAAGCTGTCTGGCATAATAAGATAGATATCTCCATACTATGAGAGGGTCTAAGTGCAACTGTAAAGAAATAAAACTATAAGAAAAACCTATTAGATTTGGCTGTAAAAACAAAGAACGTGTAACTGTCCGTTATAATGCACAGTCATTCTAGAAAATAAAAAAAAGAGAGTGATTTACATTAATTTAATATTTTTTGTTACTTAGTAGTTACAAAGTTGGTCAAATTTACCAATGCCAATACAGTTAGTATTAAGGTAGAAAAAATAATAGTTTAAGTGCAAAAAAACTTATGATATTCATTTTAAGAGGTTTTATAGTTGGTACAAATGAAATTTGAAAACTATAAGATTAAAAAAATTTTTCATTCTTGACATGAAAATCACCTTGCACATGGATTGACTCAGTAAAGACTTCATAAATTTACAGACAAATCTTTCATTTTATTAAAAATTTGATTTGGTGTACAGATGCATTGTATGTAATGTTTACTCAAACTTTGCCAAATTTTGTGAAGATGTATTCACTACATTAAAAGTTATAGTATGTATGTTTCATGGTTACAACATTAGTCAAAGTCCATATACAGAGAGTTAATACTGAGGATATAATTTTTAAAAATGCAGATTTGGCAAATAGGGCCTAAATACAATCACTCGTCATGATAATTTTTCAGTTACTCATTAAATAATATACTATTATTTTCCTCAAAAACTACACTACCACGAATATAGTTTCTTTAAATTTAGAATCTGAGATGAACTAAAAAATGATTTATCTTGTGAGGATTACACTGCAAACATAACAGTGTTTGTTCAGATTTGGGTGTTCATGTACATAAAAAATAATGTATGCTGTGGTTATTCTAACGGTGTCAAAATATCAGATTGTGTATTGGTGGGAAGAAACTAAAACAACTCCTGTCCGGACTGAGGAAACCATCCAAGACAGAAATACCAGCAAAACAACTTTCTAGTTACATCACCTATATCATCTACTGAACATTTATTTAAATAATAGGCCACAGTAAATTATTGGTTAAATAACTATCTACACATGTATATGAAACTACTGAACAAATTAAAGCAGCTACCTTTTTATTTAAAATTGCTGCAAGGTAAGAATAATATGTAGAAAATGTAAAATAGAAAATGCTTCCTGTTAATAATATTACCTTCCTAATTTTATCATCACTTTAGGAAGTATACTTTAAGATACTAATTTTAAGGTATAAAAAGAGATTACTATTATAAAAATGCTTTTAAGTTCACCAATATATTTCATCTTTCGATTCGCATAACACATAAGGTAATATCAAGTATACTTCATGAATAATTATATCTTACCTAATCTAACCTAACAAGTTTCTAATTTTTAAATTTTAGTTCCTTTTATAATAACAATAATTAAATAATACAGATGAAAAACAAGAAATATAGTACTCAGCCGGGCTTTCTTTTCTTTGCTGTCGACTCGACTAGCAATGTCACCACACTAAATAATTTTTTAGTTAATTAAATACTGCACCTATGAACAGAGAATAACAACACATAAAAAGCAGAAAATGTTCTATAACTGTCATAATTTTTCTGGCTTTCTAACTATGCAATAAGAGCTGTTAAAAATTCAGCTAAGCTCATCGATAAGTTTCACCTGGAAAGGAAGTAATTCTCTGTACAGAAAACAACATAATATAATACATCATTTGATGGATTAAAACTTTCTGTTTTTATAAATAATATAGTGTAAAGTGTCAGAGAAAACTATTGGCAACTTGTGAAAGAGAGGATGTGATAGGTGGGCATGGCAAATGGGTCTGATTTTTTAGTCTATGACTTCATAAACAAATAAGACCATAAAAATTATGCTTTGCCTGAGTAATATCTATATTATAACAAGAAATGTACATTAAATTCTGTACTTCTTAGAGGAGTGGTAAATAAATCAGAGAAGAGGGAAAATATAGACGGAAATGCCACAGTTCTCATACTAGGGGAGATTAAGGATTTTTTAAATATTTCCTTATAAAATTGATAACTTAAAACTTAAACAATATTAAAATTTGATTTATCAACTAACTTTTGATGCCAAGTTTATTCATATAAATTGATAATAAAGTAGTTTAATTAATTTTAGAATGTAATTCTGTAAAAAGTTGTGACATGTGCACTTTGACCTACACAATGCAAAATGGTTAATTGGTCTAATCTATGAAGCACAGTACATTTTTTTTTTCTACTTTTAATATAAACTTTTGTTCTTATCAGTTAAATAACGTTTTTATGTTCTTTAGAATTTAGCATAGTATACACTTATTGCTTAAGTAGATTTTCACTCAGTATATTAACAGTTTTTAACCCTACATGCATGGAGTTGGTCCCTTGAACTGAGCCCACATTGGAGAATTAATTGTTAATTTCTATAATTTACAATTTATTTAATGTACCTTCATCCAATTTGGTAAGCTTTTAGTAAATATTACAAGTATGTTGTACACAAAAATCTGAATTTACTTTCTGCCTCAGACTGCGACTAGTCTGAGTACAATATGATTTTCAAGTTAACAACAAAAAATACCTTTTTTTAGTTTATAGTTTTCATATTTCATATTAGAGCTTCCTAAATGAATATCAGAAGTTTTATTCAGTAAAACTTTATATCTTATCTTTAATATGGGCTTGGACCACTAGACCAACTTTGTAACTACACACATTCACAAAAGTTTTAACACTTGAAAAAGAAAAAAAATACATATAGATTTATAGTTTTGATTTAGCATTGGCATTAGTTTTTCATATTCAGAATAATAATTCTCTTCAAATTCAAGACTAATATAGAGTAGAATCTCCAGTAAGCATATGTTTGTTCATGCTCACACTCTGCACATCATTTGTACATTTCAATCACACCATATTACATGCCACAGGGCACTACCAAAAACAAACAAAAAACACTTTCAGTTTCTGAATACATTAACCTTTGTTACTACAGCACACATAAGTAATTCTATGTTCAATTACATACTGTAGGACATTATGCATATTTTAATTAAGCATTTATAATTTTACTGGTGTATATGTGTTTGAATTAGTTTTGGCAGGTACTATAGCTTAAGCTTTTGAAAACAGCACTTTTCATGCTTAGCTACCTTGTAAATCTTGACCTATAATCACTGCTGTTTTACTGCTGAAATAAAGTTTATTTAACAGAATCACTAACATTAAACTTTATATGGCTGTATTAACCTCAATTTGGATTGCTCACAAATTTGATTACTTCTAATATTAGGTCAAGTAAAAAACATCTGGAGTTTTGAAAAATGGAAGGAGGAGGAGGACCTTTTTTTTTTTTAAAATGACCTCTTTGCACCCTTTGTTTCATATTTTCATCAAAACAATACAGAATTTATGAAAAATAAATATGTCAAAATGAATCAACTGTGTTCATCCCACGTTTTCTTCAGAAGTCTTCTTTGTATGAAAGAAAAACGAGAATTCAAAAAAGGGAATAAACTGCCAAAAAAAAAAGTTGGATGAGGCAGCTGCAAAAAAGGAAGCAGGTAGGGATGCTAAACATGTACTTTTTTTCACTTAGCCTTACTTAAAACAATGTGAATTGCCCTAGTACACTTTTAACTTGGTGAGATTTTAAAGAAAGGCAAGTTCACTGCTTCAAAAAAAAACAATATATACATTTTTCAAAGTTATTTTCACTGACAAATAAAATTAACAACTACAATTACTACTCCCTTTTGCTCATCAAATGTATTCAAAAACCATTAACATAATATGTTACCAGCTATCAGTGAATGATGGGTAGCAACAGATGATAAAGAATGGGAATAAATTTTTCCTGGCATGGTAAAAACCTCAGCAGGCTTGAGTGTGTTTGTGTCCCACACTTTCAGCTGGCAGTCCATACTTCCTGACGTGAATAATCCTGTGTCAAAAGGGTACCACTGTACACTTTCTACACTAAATTTGTGTGCATGTCTTGATCTCCTATAACAAAGGTATTGAAAGAAATATCAAACTTGATTTTCCTTCACGTGAATACCATTTCATATAAATTTACTTGAATGTATTCATGCTCGTTTTAAAATATAATCTGTTTGTATAATAAGTTGCTTCTTAGCTGAACAAAACTATCAGGCAATAGAGCAGTAAATTTTTTTATAACATACACTAAGTAATCAAAAATATTATCTTCATAATTATGGTAACCATTGTTACAGACCTCAATTACTGATGAAATACTATACTACCATGTTACTGTATATAACAGGAGAAAGGATATCTTTCTGTACGTTATCAATTAAATTATGGTGTTTTTTAGTAGCATCAATAACACAGAAAAACAAAATCATTATTAATTAATGAACTAAAACTGCTTGATGCCATCAAAAAAATGAGTTAGCAGCATTTACTGGATTAGAAAATTTACACATAAATGCTATAATATTATATATATTATATATATATATTATAAAAGTGGGTAAATTAAAAGGATGTGTCCTAGGTGTAGAGTGGCTAGGGCACGACAGACCATACACAGCAAGTGAACTACATTCAAAACCCATGCTGCTAAGAACTGACATCCATGCGGGGGTAAGATGAGAATCATACCGTTGGTAAGTCAACTAATATCGCAAACCCTAGGTTCCAGGTACCGACATCCATGTGTGAGGTAAGAAAGAGGATTATACCACCAGGAAGTTGACTATAATCCAAAATCCAGGTCATAGGGAACCAACATCTATGTGGGGGTAGGAAAGAGGATCTTACCATCTTCACCTCAAATGAATGAGGCCAGAGGGAATCAAGAGCCTTCAGACCCATGAATAGGGCACATGTTAATATAACAAATTGATAGATCAATCTGGGAACCTGACCTCTGGTTTCAAAAAGATGTCTGTGTAATGTAAACCATCTCCTTCAAAAGTGATATTGACTGGAACTGCTCCAAGATTAGTAATAACCTCGGAATAATAAGCATGTAGGGATAGAGAGAAAGGAAAGAGCCATAATAATCTGCAAGTACCTCCACCATGAGTAACAAGAGTATAACTGAGGGAGGAATATAAACATCTGTAATACATGTGTGAGGACTTATGTTGATTGGCTCAACTCTAAATCTAAAACCAAGCCAATAAGAACCGGCAACCATGTGGAGGTAGGAAGAGGGATCCCAATCGAAGGAATAAACTGCAATTTTGAATGCTCACTCCCATTTATATATGTTTCATAATGGAGGATATCACTTCATCTACACCAGGAGAACACCCCTGCTCTACTCTCAACTGAATAGTTGTATAATCATTTCTATGTTTTGCTTGCATTTGTATTTCATTAACCCATTCAGGAGGATGACTCCATGGTCCATCATTGCAGTGGTTTGGAACTGGAAAGTGGTAAGGAATCTCAAACACCACCAGAAGAAAAGGGGGGAAAACATGGTGGAGTGTCCGGAGGAACAACAACACCTGAGACAGTGCAATTGGTGACCACAAAACCCTATTTTTTAAAGCATACCATACCAATTTACTCAATATAAAGCATGGCAGCTGTCCCCTTCTGCTTTACCAATGTAGTAAATGGGTGAGTATGGTCCAGGATGGGACAATGTTTTGTTAAAATTTCATCGCGAGGATAACCATGGTTGTTGTGTGACAATGGAAATATAATATGTAACTTGATATGGCCTTATAGTGTGGATTTGATCTGTTAAAAAATACCTGGTCAGGCACCACTCACCACAGAGCAGGATCCAAACTATGAGCAATGACAAAAGGGAAAAGAGCCCCTGAAAACGAAAAGAATAAATAACTTACCCAGTCAAAGTCTCATTGTATTCTGAAGAATGGCTACAGGCAGAAAAAAACCACCATCAAATGCAAATAATGAGAAACGAACGTAACATGGGTAGTCTACATGCCCGATTGAAGAAGTACCTCCAAAGGAGGATGAAGATGAAATGCCAATGGAAAGGTAAGGTGTCAAATTGAATGAGAAGACTCCCAGAACAAAGTATGGATCCTAGACGACAAAGAGAAATAAGCCAATCGAAGCAAGAGCTGAACCCAACTGGCAAAGGTGGAAGGAGAAAGATCATGAACAGAGGACAGCTGCCAAGTAGGAAAAAAGGCAGGAATGAATACCACAGAAAGAAGCCATGTGGGTAATATTACAGAAAAAAGCTCATACAGGACATTGAAATCTATCTGGATCAGGGCGAGGATAAAGTTGTGAAATGAAAGAAAGGGAAAGCAGTTATTCTCATAAGCCACCGAAGAGTTAGGGAGGAAAAACGATCCAGAGAAAGAAGAAGAAGATGTGAAGAAGGATAAAGAGTACGTGAAACACTGATGGCAAATAAACAATTGCCTGACATGCACAGGCAAATAGGAGAAGGAAGGAAAACATAAGGGAAGATGAAACAAGATGCATTGGGAGAGTGGTACGAATGTAGACAAAAAGAGGCAGTGCAGAAACACATTAATATCCTCATTCAGTAAGGGCAGCCCACTGCTGCAGGTAACAAATCCGGCAAATATACATCAACAGGTAAAGTGTAGGAGAGGTAAGTACCTCTGTAATCGGTAAAAATGAAAAGTGTGGGACGGGGCCGCCCAAAAATCTGAGATTGATGACAAAGAAGACTCCCAATCCAAAAGTCAAGTGAGGAAATCTGTATGATAAAGAACAGTGGGTAAGCATAAGAGTTTACCATAAAAAAACTCAATATGGAAGTTTTGCAGTTGTGTTTTTTTGTAGTTAGTGCAACTGCCACAAAATATAACCATTGATCAGTAAAAATGAAAACACAATCAAAACTTACCTACTGACTTTACAAATAACCTTGCATGTATATTGGGGTGTTCCACTGTAATTATCTAACTCATGTATACAGATAGTTCCATCTGCTCCTCCTGACAACAAGCTGACAAATAAAAAAATATATAGTGATATACAAAGGTATTATAAAACCCGTTTAATGCTGAATGCAAAACAAGTTACATAAAATCCACATATGCATCTAAGACTGAGTTTTCAAGCATAACCCTGATAACAGTGAAACATTAGAAAAGCTTGCAATCCATATATGCCTCCCTCTCAAGCACTGCTATGTGAATTTAGAATTTCGTACTACTGTGAAGAAAGAATATTTAACTTCAAACTTCCCAAAGTTTATCAGCTTTAAGCTTCATGTACCATAAGTAACTAAATATGAAAAAAGTCTTTTTCTATGGTGTATCTAAAACCAAACTACTACTGGTAGACTTGTTTATCTGTAAACATGGCAGTAACAAAGTTAATACAAATGACATTAAAACTAATAGATAAAAATACTTATGTACAAATGGTGAACAGGCTGACAACCAAGCTTTCTTAAGAAATATTTAAAAAATACACACCTAGATTTTCATTAGAATATAAATCACCCATTATGTAACAAACTAGAGTGATTACAGAAATTATCAAAATGATATGAATATTGTCATGGACCAAATGAAAATACAAAAGTGATTAAATACAACTAAAGTTAATATTTTCCTAAACTGAAAATATATTTCTGATAGATACTTACCTCTACTAACACAATAGCTTTCCTGGATTTAAACTGCCCTCTATATTGTTCCATTTTCACTTGCCACTAGCCTTGATACTCTCACCTATCTCCACATATTTCAGCTGCACAGTAGCATGCAACAACCCTCCATCAATAGGAGCATGACACACACTCCTAGCACAGCTGACTCCCTCTATGCAATAGGACCCAATCTTCACTTTGAGATTCGGCCTAAAAAAACATACTGGAAATGGTGAAGAAGTGTGGGAGAGGGTACGTATCTATCAGAAAAATATATATATTTTCATTGTAAGAAAATATTAACTTCTCATACGATTTCTTACCTCCACTTAGAATCCCTTATTGGTCCTGTGGAGGGACTGGCATAAAATTACACGGATGAGCCCCCTTCAGAAGGTGCCTGAAGAGTACCTATGGAGTGTGCCATCTCTAATATAGAGTAAACACACTCGTGGGAGACTGTGCCACATCTGAACCAGGTATACTCTTTGCCTGTGAATGAAGATTGTGTAACAAAAAAGGTCAGAAAAGAGGAACATCAAAGAAATTTAAATGCCCTTGGAGCAGAGTGGCTAGGGTGCATTGGACCATAAGCAGGTAATTAACTCCAGCTCAAAACCAAAAGGACTGGGATTAAATCATCTAGCCTACAGTAGGAGGAGGGCACTCCACCATCCATCTCAGACTCAGGAATCAGAAAAGAATAAGAACTTCCATTCTGAGAGCCCAAGCCATCATGTGTGCATATCCAACAAAACCAACACCTGCACCTTTAGAGAATCAACATCTGGACAATTGTAGGAAGGATGAAATGCAATGTGGAGGGTCAACTCCAGTCCAAAGTACTGTGGCACTGGGAATGTATAATCTAGTCCATGGTAGAAGGAAATTCCCAGCTTGGGGGGGGAGATTGCTATGCAATGGAAAAATCCAGTCTGAACCAAAAAATCTCGAAATGAACATCAGACACACACTCAAGGAGGAAGCCTCCATGGTCCACCACCCCAACTGCTAGGAAGAAGGGGGAGAAATGCATCAGAGAGTCCAGAGGAGCGCATCAATGGAGAAAGTGCAATGTGTGACTGCATAACTATTTTGATTTATGCGTTTGAAGGCTCAGCAGGGATGGGCAAAGAGTGGATGGTCTGGGATGAACATATTTATGAAGCAAGACACCACAAGGATGAATCTAAAAGCGGTCTTATAGAACAACCCATCTCAACAGTGAGCATTATAGACATGATAGGTCATACAGTGTGGATTTAAGAATCTGTATACCTGAGCAGACACATTTGCCACAGACAGAGCAAGATCTGAAATATGTGAAATGAGGCCTCTGGAAAAGAAAAGTATATATAGTAAAAAAAAATTACCCATTCACAGATGAACCAATGAGTGTAGGTTGATGACAGGAAGTAGACAATATCTGGTTTAGAAGGAGACTGCCAGACACTAGAAATAATGGGTTATAAAAGTATAAGGAGTGGTCCACATGCTAGCTGGAGAGGTAGAAATAGTAGGAACTATGGTTAAGTGGGCCAGAATGTGACTGGGTGCCTCTTGCTGAGTTATGTAAGACACAACAGTTTAATTGTTGGAATGGATTATTATTGTTGTGCCCTTCAGAGCTGGTAGAAAATGATCCATCATTCAGCAAACAGCAAGGAGCTCCAGAAGATTGATGTAGAGAATCGACTTGAGTAAAGACCAATGGGCTGAAATTTCTTGGGCATCACAAACCAATAGAAAGGCATCTATAAAATAGTGTACATCCAGTCAGAGAGGAGGAAGAGGAACACCAGCCAAGGTGTTGTCCCTGTCCAGCCACTAGGTAAAATCAACTTGAAGGGAAGGAGAGGGATATGGGGTAATCCAAAGAATCCCTGGTAAGGTTCCACCGATTGTGAAAAACTTACTGAAGAGATCACACATGGACATGGCCAAGGAGGATAACAGCCTCTAAGAAAGCCCAAGTCCCAAAAGAGAAAGAACCTCTCATACAGGATAAAAGGTAAGGATTGTGCTTTCTGAGTCACAAGCTCCATTGAACACAGTTGAAGGGAAGAAGGCTGGGCTCAACTGAGATAGGAAATGAAGAACACCCCAAGATTAACAAGGTATTGTGTTGGGGTGAGAAATAATTTATCCACCTTGACTAGCCATCCCACCTGAGCAGATTCCCTGAGGAGAAACTTTGTGTTGGTGGAAGAAGTTAAAGCGATGGAGCTAGAAGGAGTCAGTGGTCCACGCAATGATGGAAATGTAGCCCATGTGAATGGACAAAATGAGCAAAGGTCTTGACAACCCAACAAAAAACATATGAAGCTGAGACTAGCCTAAATGGTAGAGTCCCAAATTGATATACACATTCTTTGCGGAAAAAGCAAAGATATCGATGGGATGTTATAGCAATGGGAAGTTAACCATCAGACAAGTTGATCTTCATTATTCAAAGGTCAGAAGTAATTGCCCATTGAAGGCACAGGCAAGACTCCATGGTGAGCCGAGGAACCTCCATATAATGGTTCAGACTGGAGAGGTCGATAATGGGATGCCAATCCCTGGTGTTTTGGGGGACCATGAAAGCATGTAAATACAGAAACCTGGTACTAAAGGAACTACCAATTCTAAAGCACCCTTGAAGAGAAGTTACTGAATAGCTGCAGAAAGGCACTGGATACAGACTGGAACCTGAAGTGGAGGGAAAATAACAGGAAAAGTTGATAAGGGAGGAGGGGAAAGGAAGTGAATGGAGAGTCTGTCTGATATGACCCCCAAAAAGCCCAAGGGTCTATGGAAAATGTTTCCCAGATACTTATAAAATGAATCAGTCTGTCCACAATGGAACCTGACCCCAAGAGACAGTCACTGGTACAATTGGTGGTGTGCTGGTTGTCTGTGACCAATAGTGCACCATGATGAAGCAATCCATGAGGAGTAAATAGGCAAGGGAGAAGAAGAAGAGGGGTCAGATACAGGAACAGAAGACGGGGAGGGTTGAGACAAACATGTCACTAGGGAGGAACGGGATGTATATAAATGTGTAGATTCCACTTTGGATTCCAATGAGTCAGGAAGACCACCAAAAACTGTTTGTTGCAGAAATGGGGCCATGCACAGGCATGCAGAGTAGGGGGAGATGTATGAGTTAATAGCATTCCTACTCAAGAGGTCTCAACAATAAAGGAGCCATGTGTGGAGGAAAAGGGCAGAGGAGGATAGGCATGACAACGTGGAGAGAAAAAGGGTTTGGGCATTTGCTGAAAACCCTTCAGGGGAGTGACAGAAAGTCTCAGACAAAAGGGGATGGAAAACAGGTAAGATAAAAGTGGTCAAGGTTAGTTGAAGGTGGATGAACTGTGGCTTAGAAAAGTGGACAAAGGTAATGGGATCTGATCACCAAAGTGGGAGGAGTGAATCCAACTGTTGATTGTCAATAAATGGATTCACCGAATGATGGTATGCTAAAGTGTATGCCTCCAACATATGTAGGGGATGCAGCATGCTAACCTTCGAACATAATTGATTGGCAAAATGCTCAACCTGATGTCAGGAGAAAGAGGGAGGACAAAATATTTGGCATTAGGTGCTTCCATTAAAAGGGAAAGAGATGGGTCAAGACATGGGAGGCAAAGACAAAATAGAACAAACCTTTGAAACTAAATCCAGGAAGGGAGAAGAAGGTTCAGACACATCTACGGTTTGAGAACGAGGCTGTACTAAAAAGGAATGGGAAAAAGAAAAGGCTGTTCATATCCTCATCATCCTGCTTCAACTCTTCTTGGAATGTGAGAATTGGTTAATGTTCAGAAGACCCACTGGCCCACATAAAAGAGGCCATCTCTCAGCAGACTAGGGCCAAAACTTCTTCAGCCAATAATGTTGACTCTGAAGCCATAGTAACGGGTTATTTACCAGCAATTTCAGAACCAGTAGTATTCATTATTTGAAATATATAATTCATAGTACTGCACATGAGTGGTAAGTACACATCACAGAAAGAAATGAAGTGAAATCAATGTGAATCCATTATTGAAATTGAGGAAACAATAATAAATCAAAACAAAATAAAATAGTTGAAGTTGAAATGAAGTTAAAGTCACAACAGCACTATTAATTAATCACAAAGTAAATCAAACAAAAGCAAGTAAGACGTCCAACCACTGTCATGCCAAATTGCCAATAGGAGTCAGCTGCACTAGGAGGGTGTGTTGCACTCCTATTGGTGGAGGGTTGTCTCATGCTTATTTGCAAACTATTGTGCAGCTGAACCATGCAGTAAACACATGGAGTTAGGTAGGAGTATCAAGGCTAGCGGTAAGTGAAGATTGCACAATTTAGAGGGAAGTACAAATCAAGGTAAGATATTGTATCAGAAATACATAATATTAATTTTCCTTCACTTAACAAACATTTCTAATTTGACAACTGAATAAAACTTACTATCTGTTTTCAATATTTTCAATATCTATGGAGTTTACACTTGATGTGTGGGCTTGTTCAACATCCCGTAGTTTGCTCAGTTCCAAGGACAGTAGTCGACGTGTAGCTTCAGCTTGAATCAAGGAAGTTGGTCTTACTGAACCATTCCACACTTGATGAAGAAAGCTTAACATAGCCATGCTCAATTATGCTTTGTATTACTACTTCCTCTACAAAAAAAATTTACATGATGTTATTCATATAACATCCTTTATTAATATTTAATTTGAATCATTTTAGTATATCAAGTACTAATAGATTTATTTCTAAGATATGCATACAACACGTACAGCCTTCTCATAGAATGTGTATTAAGTATTATTGTTTGCAAAATATATTTCAATTCTAATTTACATGAATTGCAAAATTATGAAGCACTCAATGCTTAAGATAATTATATAAACAATTTACATTTTCTACTTTTGTATATGCATCATACATTTAGCAAATGTTACCAGCATCCTAGCAAATGAGACACAGCGCATACAGCTAGGCTGATGATATCATAGTTATGAAATTCACTTAAATCATACAATCTTAATAAGTTAGTACACCTTTAGTCATCTCGTTTAGGAATGATGAAAAATTATGGAAAAAGGGAAGATAATCAAAAGCAGGAATCAAAATTTTACTATGATCATTGGATTGATGTAGTAAAATGTACTGTGTATAACAGTCAATAGGTTGCAGTTCTGGTTGAATGATCAAGATTCCTACACAATCATCAGCATTGTAAATATTGGTTACAACATAAATATAACAGAAGTGGCTTAGCAACATTTGAGGATGTCACTTTTGAAAGCTGAAAATGTAAAGGTACATTTAATCTACTTGTAGTTTGTTAAATGCATAACACCAAAAGTAAACCATGGTAAAACAGATGTTTCTTAATTATTTAGAGAGAGAGAGAGACACACACACACACCAACAAGGATGGACAATTAGTGAAATTTGATAGTAAATAATTTGTTCGGCTCATTACTGTATCACATCCAAACAATCAATTAGTGTCATGTAAGACTTGCATAATTGAAATAATAAAAAAATAGTAAGAATTAGAAAGACTAATTTCAATTATTTGATTATTTTTGAGTTATGACACTAATTGATTAACCTTGAATTAACAGAAAATAATAATAAGAAATCATAATGACAATATTTTGAATCAGTTCAATTACTTGATTATTACAATTACAATTGATTTAATCACAATTTTGCTTAATCGATTATATTATTTGACGCTATTCAATGTAAGCAATGCTTGAAGGTAATCAATTATACTTACTGAGTTTATTGCTCAGCTCTATCCAAAACAATACATAAATTCTATACAAAAGACAAATGCCATTTTAGCGTAAATATTCTGAAGGGATGAAAGTTACAGAAAATTAAATGTTCGATGATTAAAGACAAGTTAGGGTGATTTAGGGTTTTCAAGTTCAAGTCCTTAACATATGCCCCATAGTCAACTGACTTGGCCTAGCATTTGAGTTATTTATTTCAATTTAAATTACATTTGAGGATACTACCTTTTTTCAATTATATACGTCCTAAGACAAGTATTAAGCCTTATTCAGTTCTTGTATTTTTAACACTAAATTTTTATTTGGTCTCTTAGTTTTTTCTGAGAAAAAGGGTGTATATTATTTCAACCGCACTACTTCTTCCACATCTGTCTTATGACAAATGTAAATGATTAAAATCATGTTTTGTCAGCAAAAATTGAAAAAGATGTTCACACTATAACATGAAAACTGACTTTTTTTTGCAACATAATTGCGAAATTTTACATTATGCTGACTCTAAGATTTAAAACAATAAAACAGTACATTGAATCATTGATAATTAATAACTTCAAATATGCAATAATAAAACATTCACTTCAGAAGTTCAATATTAATATTATTAGTATTACTAAATAGAACATTTCCACATTCTTGTTAATTGTTAACCCACGTTCAATACATAAACTGATGATAAAGTCTCAGTATAAATAGTCGTGAATAATTTAGGCCTAAGAGTAAAAATGTTTGTAAGCTTTGATGCCAAGACCTTTAGTTTACATTTAATAAACTTCTGCGGTAAGTTTTAAGCTAACATGGTCTGGAACCGCGTCACAGTTTGGATAACTTATAGAACTTACCTTTTTCTCATAAGTTTCAACAATTTTTATCATTCTACTCATTTTTAAAACCATTTGTATCACTTCCTCATTTATGTAACTAGTCTTTGCTAAATATAAGGCCAGAGTGTTTCTTGAGCAATCATTTATTATAACTGATACTATTATTTAAAAGTATTATTACAAAAACACTACTACTATTATTATCAACATATCACGCCGAAGACGCCGCTTGCAATAGATTATCAAACTTTCATTTATAATAAATTATAAATATGGTTTTGGTTGTTTTAAAGCAAAGCCACATTTGGCTATTTGCCGTGTTCACCGCGTGGAATCGAACCCCGGATTTCAGCATTGTAAGTCCGTAGACTCCCAGAACATTTAACTGACCTCTATAAGAAGAGCATAGTCCATTTGGTATCATCACAGGCTCTTCAGATTACAAAACATTTGGCGAATTATGCAGACGTCTTTTCGAAAGGAGATCATGACCTTGTAGAGCACAGAATAAACACAGGCAGTCACCGTCCAATAAAGATCCCTCCGAGGAGAATAGCTCCGGCAAAGTGACAAGAGATGGAGAAGGTCATGGATGGCCTAGTTAAGGAAGCGATAGTCGAGGAATCAGATAGACCCTGGTCAGCTCCCGTCGTGTTAGTCCAGAAGAAGGACGGGACCCAACGTTGCTGTATGGACTTTAGGGCTCTTAATAGTTTAACCGAAAAAGACTCATATCCACTGCCAAGAATTGATGATACTCTTGATGCCCCAAGT